GCCCAGGCTGCTCCAAGCCCCATCCAACCTGCCCTTCAACACCCCCAGGGATGGGGCAGCCACAGCTTCCCTGGCCAACCTGGCCCAGGCTCTCCCCACCCTCACACTCCACAATTCCCTCCTCAGCTCCAACCTCCAGCTCCCTCTCCCACTTTTCATCCCTCCCCCTCATCCCATCCCTCCCTGCCCTTGGCCCAAGTCCCTCCCCAGCTTTCCTGGAGCCCCTTCAGGCCCTGGAAGCTGCTCTAAGGTCTCCCTGGAGCCTTCTCTTCTCCAGGCTCAACATCCCAACTCTCCCAGCCTGGCTCCTCCCTCCGCACATGAGATACCTCAGATCACCCTGCATAGAAGGGCACCACACAAGTGGTCACCTGGGAAAGCAAACACACCTTACAGGAGCCTCCTCCTGTTCTTAATTCAAGACTCAATTGCAGTTTCAAACACACAGCCAGGAAGAACATGCCAGGAGCAGAGACACAAGGGGCACCAAGAGGAGTAACAACATCTTACATCAAGTAACTAGGATGTCCTGACAAAAATCTGTTGATTTCAAGAACCTATTCCCCCAGTGACCCATCTGGCTGCTTTAATTAAGCTCTTTAAAACACTCTGTGCTGCCAAAAGTGCTCTACAATTTTCCATTAAAATCTGCCATCATCAAACACTCACTAAAGAATTTTCTAACAGCATTTTCTTCCTGTTAGAAATTCTTATTTCTGCACTAGGTTAGTATTAAAAAGATCCAATCAAACAGTGCCATGGACAGTGACTGTTCTATGAGGACAGGCTGGGAGAGTTGGGGTGTTGAGCCTGGAGAAGAGAAGGCTCCAGGGAGACCTTAGAGCACCTTCCAATGCCTGAAGGGGCTCCAGGAAAGCTGGGGAGGGACTTGGGACAAGGGCAGGGAGGGATGGCATGAGCAGGATGGATGAAAACTGGAAGAGGGAGATTGAGGTTGGAGGAGGGAATTCTGGAATGTGAGGGTGTGGAGACCCTGGGCCAGGTTGCCCAGGGAAGCTGTGGCTGCCCCATCCCTGGGGGTGTTGAAGGGCAGGTTGGATGGGGCTTGGAGCAGCCTGGGCTGCTGGGAGGTGTCCCTGCCATGCAGGGGGGTTGGATCTAGGTGATCCTTAAGGTTCTTCCAACCCAAACCATTCCATGACTCTATAATAAGTGAGCAGGACAGTCTGTTCTGAACAGGTAACTGCCTAATCAGAAGAACACAAAGGATAGCCCCTGGAATGCTGAAACCAAGCAAGGAGAATCCACCTGTCTGGGGTTCAGGCCTTGCCCTCAGCCCAGCACAGGGAGCACTGACCGATGAGTGGGTCGGTGACATGTGTCCAGTCAATGCAGCCCTGCAGCTCCAGCTGGTAGTGGGACTGGATGTAGAGGAGCAGGTGCTGGTAGAACCCTATCCCAGCAACCAGGTGGGTCCGGTATGCGCACTCCAGGGTGCTCCGACTGTGGATGTGCTGGAGAGGGGAGAGAGCAGAGTCAGTTCCTGCAGCCTGGGGCAGGTTTTAGCCATCCCAGCCACACCAAGGATGAAGTAAGAGAGTGGGTAGCTCAGCTGGAATTGGTTGGCACAGTTCTGCACCTCCTCTTGCTCAACCATGTTGTAATTTACTAAGGGTCAAGACCAAGAAGGAGAAACACTCGGTGCAACCACAAGGGACTAAAATCAAGGTGTCCGGTGAGAGCAGCTCAACAGTGCTCAGATAATCAGATCATCAGGAGAGGGTTTGTGGCACCAGAAAACACAAGTGTGAACAGTGTGAGTACTTCCAACTCCAGGAAAAACAACCTGCTCTGACAAAGCCTCTTCAGGCCATCATGCTACATGACGATCTATCTCTTTTGAAGACAAAAATGAAGCAAATTATGTAGAAATACCCCCCCCCAATGGAAGCTCTCTCAGCAGACCACTAAAACTTACCTGCCACAGCTAGACAGAAGGTCTACGTCAGCTCCAAGAGTAAACTCTGGAGTCTCTGCCTTCCAGCCCCATGTTCAGACCACAATGTCTCCAAGCAAATGAACTTTTTAACTTGGGCTCATCCACTGCCCAGCCAGAGACTTTCTCATGCCAGAGCCATAGATACCTGCCTTTTTATTGGTTTTAATGAGCTGGATAACTTCATAGTAAACTTTCCTCCAGAGCAACTCTTCTGCTTTTCTTCCATAGTCCACTGGGTGCAAGAACATCAGCTTCACACAGAGCTCCCGCAGCCTGGACAGAGAGCAGAGAGTTCACAATTTAGCTCCAGGTTGAGCTGCCACCTCAGAAACATGGAAGAGAAAAACCTGAGTTCATGATGATGGACAGGCTAGACCCTCCGGTGATGGGACAGAAACACAGTCATGTCAAGAGTTGTCTTGACAGCTTAAAAGAAATGAGCAAGAGAAATCATCCCTGCCAGGCACCCCCTGAATGTGATGAAAGATTTCAGGTGCATGTTAAGTTGCTTCATCATCCAGTTTTTTAAAGATAATTACATGGAAGGCACTGGCTGACATGAAGATGATTTATTTGTATAACAAGGACACCCAGAAAAGCCTCCAGTCATGGGCTGCATGGTCAGGTGCTGTTCAGACCTGAAATCCAGACTCTGCTTCAAAAACCTGGAGAGATCCCAGGTCAACAGGTGTCCTACAAATCAAATACACCAAGAAACTGCATGTCCAGAACCTCCATGTGGGGCAATCCCAAGCACAAAGCTAGGCTGGGGGGAATGGATGGAGCAGCCAAGGAGAAGGACGTGGGGGTGTTGAGGGAGGAGAAGCTCAACATGAGGCAGCACCACGTGCTGGAGCCCAGAAACCCCCCGTGTCCTGGGCTGTCACCAGCAGCGTGAGCAGCAGGGCCAGGGAGGGGATTGTCCCCTCTGCTCTGCTCTGCTGAGACCCCCTGCAGGGCTGGGAACAGCTCTGGGGTCCCCAACACAGGGAGGACATGGAGCTGTTGGAGAGAGTCCAGAGGAGGCCCCGGAGATGCTGGGAGGGCTGGAGCAGCTCTGGAGCCAGGCTGGGAGAGTTGGGGTGTTGAGCCTGGAGAGGAGAAGGCTCCAGGGAGACCTTAGAGCACCTTCCAGTACCTGAAGAGGCTCCAGGAAAGATGGGGAGGGACTTGGGCCAAGGGCAGGGAGGGATGGGATGAGGGGGATGGATGAAAAGTGGGAGAGGGAGCTGGAGGTTGGAGCTGAGGAGGGAATTGTGGAGTGTGAGGGTGGGGAGAGCCTGGGCCAGGTTGCCCAGGGAAGCTGTGGCTGCCCCATCCCTGGGGGTGTTGAAGGGCAGGTTGGATGGGGCTTGGAGCAGCCTGGGCTGCTGGGAGGTGTCCCTGCCTGTGCAGGAGGTTGGATCTAGGTGATCTTTAAGGTCCCTCCCTCCCAACCCAAACCATGCCGTAAGTCTATGATGGTTTCCCCCAGCCAAATCTAAAAACCAAGTGTCCTGCCCAACTTACTTGTTCCTCAAGCTGATGTTCTCAGGCTTGAACACTTCTTGATAGGCTGCCTTGTTCCCAAGGATGAGATCCAGCCGATGAACAGCCTCCACCACTGCTCTGCAGGGCAACACAGAAAGAAGAGCTTCATAAGAACAGGTCCTCTGGGATTGTTTCACGAGGTTTGGGATGCCTGCACCACGCTAGTCCAGTTAATTCCATTATTACCAAGCTTCATTACCCTCCCACACTATACTGATTTCCTTTTTGCACTCTATCTTAAAAGCTTATGGAAAGAACATCAACAAAAAAAAAACCAGTTACATACATTGTCATGATTTTGCTGCAAATCAGCTGTTTAACCATCAGTTACCACTGCATGTCTGGTCAAAAATGTCAGTTATTTCTGCAGTGGCAACATCAGCAATATCTTTGAAAACATCAGTAACTTTTAACCTCAGCAGTTAAATCCATCCATACCTACACTTTGATTAATTTAAATATTTTAAACTTTGTGATTAAACATTTAATTGATTTCTAACAACTGCTGTTTTGATAGGGCAAGAGTCCCACCTTCACCAATGCCTGGTGAGAACACCAACTTGGCTATGAAATAAAGCAACTCACATTGTCCTCATTTGCCAAAACATCCTGATTTTCATTAGAGTTGTTCACTGATTAAAGCCCTTAAGGACCTCCCAGTGACAAGTAACAGAGACACTTAAAACCAGCCTAAAATAAGAAATTTGTGGCAAGCTTTTTTCCCCTGAAAGCCTCTAGAAGACAGACAAAGCAACCTCCAAAACCTCTGAGTCATGGAAAAAAACCCTGCCGGGGATCAGTGCCCAGGAGGCTCCTCCTGGAGGAGGAAGCACCATGTGTGTAAAACCTGGAGCACTCCAGAGTTTGTAGCTGTGAACAACGGGGCCTGGGGCTCTGGATGTTGCAGTGACAGAAGCCCAAGGGCTGAGAGCAGCACCAGCCTGACAGACACTGCCCTCACCACCACCTCCTGGACAGCTCGACTGAGCAGCCACGTTAAACCCTTCCTACCAAGGGAGGTCATCTCTCCAGCCTTGCCTTGGCTAAGCCTGTTTGTCAGGGTAATAAACTCTGACTCCTGAAGTGAACTTCTCCCAGCTGTTCACTCTCCAAGTTCCTCTAAGAAACACATCCTCCAAGCCATCCCCAGCCACCAGCCTCCTCAGGCACTTGTTCTGCCCATCAACCACGTGTCCATCAGTCCTTGCTTCTTCCAAAACCTTCACTGAGGTGTGAGCAACCTGATCTGGTGGGAGGTGTCCCTGCCCATGCAGGGGGGTTGGATCTAGATGAAGTTTAGATCATGGAGTGGTTTGGGTTGAAAGAGACCTTAAAGATCACCTGGATGATCCACCAAATGATCTTTAAGGTGGCTGCCCTATTCCTGGCAGTTTTGAAGGGCAGGTTGGATGGGACTTGGAGCAACCTGGGCTGGTGGGAGGTGTCCCTGCCCATGCATAATCCTTATGGTCCCTTCCAAGCCAAACCATCCCACGATGATCTTATGATGATGATAAAGGTTCATCCCATGCTGAGCCTGCCCCTGTTTGAACAAGAAGTTGAAGACAACCAAGGTGCTTTGTCAATACAGAAGGAGCTTGCCTCCCCAAGACCTCCACCTCCTGCAAACCCATCCCATTCAGGGCACAACACACTGACTGAACCTTCCTGCCACACAAGGGCACAAAGGGATGCCAGGATGAACACAGGGAACTTCTATGTCATTTGCCAGCAAGACTGTGTGTCAAACCATTTGCTCAGGAGGCTGAAACCACCAGCACTTCTCTGGAAACTACTGCTATTACTGTGAAGTGAAGTAACTGATGGTTTCATGCACCAGCCCCTTACTAGCACAGCAAACCTCCTTCCACCAACCCAGCACACCTAAAGGAACCTCCCTGGAAAAACCCCAGAACATTCAGAGGCTCAAAAAGTCCCATCTCATCCCATGTCACAGACATCCTTCCACCCAAGGGTAACTGGAAATCTTGTTTGTTTTCAGCAAACCACAGAACCTGACAGGAGAAGGGCAGGGAACAGGACTGTCTCACACAATGGCTTGGGAGATCAAGCCATCAGAATTGAACCAACTTCTTCCAAATAATCATGAAGAAAAAAAACCAAAACAAACAGAGGAAGAATCACCCAGAGAATCATGGAATCACAGGGGTGGAAGGGACCTCTGCAGATCATTGAGTCCAACCCATATGCTGCTGCAGCAACATCTGGAGCAGATCACACAGGAACACATCCAGATGGGTTCTGAAACTCTCCAGAAAAGGAGACTCCACAACCTCTCTGGGCAGCCTGCGACTAACCTTGATACCCACAGCCACATCTCACTGCCATCTCACCATAGCCTGAAGGCCCTTTGCAAACTCTACCAACCCAACCCTCCCAACAGCAAACAAGGCAAGAGAGTCAAATGCTTTTTTGATTTGCAGGTAAAAGGCAGCAAGTCTGAAGCACTGATCCCAGCTCAGAGCATACTGGTACAGGGGAGGGAGGAGGGGACAGTAGAGAAAACCCAACAAGCCCCACATCCATGTTTAGTTACCCAAAAACAGATCTCCAAAAAGCAGCAGGCAATAAAACACATCCTCACTGCAACCTGTATTTAACGTCCTGTCACTGCCCCTCTCAGACCCTCGGGAGGAAGTGACCAGTCGCTCAGAGGGAACAGATTTGTTTCCTCTGCAGAAGGTGACCAGAAGAAAAGGGAACTGCTGATTCATTTGATTCCCAGAGAGAAGTACAGGAAAGCTATGATGCTCTAGTCCCAAAATAGGTGGTCTCTCCATCTTCAAAATAGCTGTAAAACCAGGCTCAGGGCACAGCACATCAGCAGCTGCTGGTGTCTGAGGGGGCTCATGCCACTGATCCCCCAGGGAGGGAAATGATTTCATGGTGACTACAGCAGCCAAGCCCAGCAGCAGGGACATGGTCAGGCCCTAGGGCCAGATGTCAGACAGGGGTGAATGCCTGTGTCCAAATGAGTCAAGGGACCCTCACTTACCTATTCCTGCCATCACAGAATCATGCAACAGTTTGAGTTGAAATGGACCTTCAAACTCATCCAGTCCCACCCCTGCACAGGCAGGGACACCTCCCAGCAGCCCAGGTTGCTCCAAGCCCCATCCAACCTGCCCTTCACTCCCAGGGATGGGGCAGCCACAGCTTCCCTGAGCACCATGTCCCAGGTTCTCACCACCCTCACAGCCAAGAATTTCTTCCCATGATCTCATTTCCATCACCCTCTTCCAGTTTTCACCCATCCCCCTCATCCCATTCCTCCCTGCCCTTGTCCCAAGTCCCTCCCCAGCTTTCCTGGAGCCCCTTCAGGCACTGGAAGCTGCTCTAAGGTCTCCCTGGAGCCTTCTCCTCTCCAGGCTCAACACCCCAACTCTCCCAGCCTGGCTCCAGAGCTGCTCCAGCCCTCCCAGCATCTCCGGGGCCTCCTCTGGACTCTCTCCCCCAGCTCCTGCCCTCACTGCTGCCGTGCTCCCCTCTCCTTCAGGCCCTCAACTCTGACTTCTTCTCCTGCCACTCACTCATTTCAGATTCCTTCTCAGCACACAGTCTGGTTTCCCTCACTGCTCAGTACCTCACACATTAAACAATCTATTTTTTTAATACCTAAAAAAACAAAACCTCATCTGAGAATCCTTCCAAGTACAGCAGGGTCAGAAGCATGTCCTGACCCTGAGCAGCACGACACCCATGAGGGGACAGGAGTTACTTGGTAAGCAGTTGCCAGAAGCTCCTCTCCCAGTGGCAAACAGACAGTTCTTTGGCTGCCAGGGGGATCAGTGGGGAAGAAATGTGATCGAGCACTTAAGGAAAACCTTCTCATTTGGACCAGGAATCAAATGCCAAATGTGAAGCATGGAAAAGTCTCCTTCCAGGGACTGTCCGAGTAGGGACACTGGAAGGTATCTCACCTTCCAACTGAGCAGGGGGTGGGATGGGCCCCAGGGGTAGGAGGGACCTCCGGGGGTGGGAAGGACTCCCAAGGGGCCTCTCCCACACAATTGATTTCCCACAACAGTCAGGAAAACACTTGTTGCTTCTGCTACTTCGTAGGGGCTCAGGAAGGCACGAGGGGCTGGTGAGCTGAGAGCAGTGAGGTTGCTCTCCTAGAATGTGGGTTCCTGAGCCACCCAGCAGAAGGAAGAGCCCATGTAATATGTCTTCTCATCAGCACCAGCTCCATGGTGTGGCTGGGAGAGGCAGAGGCAGGACTGAAGAACCACCTGTGACAGTCTGGGATGAGCTGCAAGAATCCTGTGTCCTCAGTGGTGAGGAAAGGGGACACAGAGAGGTAAAACAGGTGCAGGATCCAACTTCCCTTCCAAAATATTAGGAAACATCAGCACAGGTGCTACAGACCATGCTCTGGTTAAAATGCCATTTAGCATTTGTGCCTTGGGTGGCTCGAGAGCACGGGCTGAATTCTACTCAGCAGTTAAGAGGCCAAATTTTGTCTCAGCGCCTGTTTTCAGATCTGCTGGGTCTAAACGTTGCCAGCAGACAGCCCAGCAGAAGCCCAGAGGAGGCAAATCAGATGCCAGGCTATTAAAAGAACCAAGCACAGCACCTCATGCCAAGCAGGGTGGAAATGGTCCAACACAAAGTCCTCTTCAGCCACCCATCTATCACCTTCCTTAACATTCTGGGATGGGGCAAGACAGCAGGGAGAATTACTTGGCCTATCTCTCTTTCTTTAATACATTACTAAGAGTCACCATCTCTGAGGAGTGAGATATTTCCCAGGGAGAGGAACTGCTGCCATTCATTTGGATCCTGGCATGTGTCAGTCCACAAATAATACTGCCCACAACCAGAATAGAAACACAAAGCCAGTGAGCTCATGAATCCAGAAAAGTGACCTGCACAACCCATCCAGTTTCCCCATACTAACACACACACTGTAAAACGGCACCCAGGATAATCCAGTTGCCACGTTCTGAGGTGAAATTTAGGGATTATCAGCCCAGGAAGACTTGGATGGAAAAGATGGAAGATCATCCTATGACTAGCAATAGGTATCTCCAACAGGACACTCCAATGGCCAATGAATTCACCAAGGACAGTGGAGACCTGAGCTCAAATCCTGCAGGTCCCACCAGCAGAGACTGAGCTGACCCCACGTGGGCACAGTTTAGAGCTGGGACTGTGCCAGCCAAACATCTGGGATTCAAAGACACCCCCTAATCCCATGGCCCAGAGTTTCCAGGGACAGTCAGTCCTCACACAACGTCCAACGTGCTTTGTGGAGGTCACTGCTTCATCCACCTGAGCTTCAGGCTGGAACAGAAAACAACTGACAAGAGACTGGTCAGAGCTGTCAGCTGTGCAGCAAGGAAACTTGTGGCCACTGCTAAGATCATAAATCATAGAATCACAGAATGTCTTGGGTTGGGAGGGACCTCTAAAGGTCATCTAGTCCAAGCCCCTTACAATAAGCAGGGACATCTCCAACTAGACCAGGTTGTTCAGAGCCCCATCAAGCCAGACCTTGAATGTCTCCAGGGATGGGGCCTCTAGGCAACCTGTTCCAGTGACCCACCACCCTCTCAGTTAAGAACTTTTTCCTACTATCCAACCTAAATCCTCCATTAAAATCACAACACTTCCAGCTAAAAGAACCATTTCTACAGAAGTGTGGTTTTCTTCTGCTGTAAAAGTGCTATAAAGCAACCACACATCTTATTCTGCCATCAAAATGTATCAGAAAACAACAGCTCCCTTGCTTTGGTGACTAATCCCATGCCTGGTCAAAGGAGGGTCACTAGTGAGCTCCAGAGGGACACTGAGGTGCCACTTGTCAGGTGGGCTGAGATATCTACAGTCCCACTCCCCTGGGACCACAAATAAATCACAACTTGAAACAACACAAGGGTGGTTTCAACAAGCAGGGGCAGACACGTCCTCTCCCATTCTGTCCACACCTCAGGTGGCAGTGGGCAAGGTGTGACCCTGCACCAGCTCAACCACCAAATCACAGGATGGTGGGGGCTGGAAGGGGCCTCTGGAGATCATCAAGTCCAACCCCCTGCTCCAGCAGGAACACTCACAGGTGGTCACACAAAAACACACCCAGACAGGTCTTGAAAGTCTCCAGAGAGGAGACTCCACAGCCTCTCTGGGCAGCCTGTCCCAGGGCTCCCTCACCCTCATGGTCAAGAAGTTCTTCCTTATGTTGAGGTGGAACTTCCTGGGCTCCAGTTTGTGTCCATTGCCCCGCATCCTGTCCCAGGACACAAGTGACAAGAGCTTGTCCCTGCCTTCTTGGTGCCCTCATGTATTGATAGACATGAATCAGGTCCTCTCTCAGTCTTTTCTTCTCCAGACTGAACAGCCCCAGGTCTCTCAGCCTGTCCTCATATGACAGATGTTCCAGTCCCTTCATCATCCTTGTAGCCTCTGTTGGACTCTTCCCAGTAAATCCCTGTCCCTCTGAACTGGGCAGCCCAGAACTGGACACAATGCTCCAGATGTGTCTCTCCAGGGCAGAGCAGAGGGGGAGGAGAACCTCCCTGACCTGCTGGCCACACTGTTCTTGATGCTCCCC